AGATGTGTAAAAGAGACAGCATTAAAGGTTTTTATTTTTTATTTTTTTTTTTTTTAGTGACGGAGGATTTAAGAGCATCTGTATCCATGCTAATAGCACGAGTAACAGCCCTGGAAAAATCAGCAGGTACACCTCAAGTAAATGGAACAAAAGAAGTGAGTATTGAGTAATCATTACGTAAAATTGAACTGAGAATTTTTTGTATGTCTATACTGCCCTCACAAACTTGCCAGCAATAAATTCAATGGGTTGCCTTGAATTGAGAGATCTGAAAATTTTTCACCATCAGAAAAACATTGAGAACAGGTCTTTAAAGAACAAGTTTAAGATATATATTTGTGTATAGTTGTTTTCAATGCACAATTGTTTTTACATGTACATGTACTGTATGTACATGTGTGAAATGTAAAATGTTGTTATCTTTGCAGGAGGCAGCTAAAGCAGTGGAAGCGGCAGGTGATGATGACGACGACGACGACTTTAATCTTGATGATTCCGATGATGAAGATGTAAGTTCAAATTTTAATGAGTTCAGATTCTCATCAGATCAGGCTTTTACCCTAAAGACAGGTGTAAAAATCCCATGGTGGGTAGGGGAGGTGTTGAGAAGCTCTGTTTTGACCATCAAATTTTACCAAATCCTTTTTTTTTTTTGTTTTTTGTTTTTTGACTGGTTTAGTTGGCTAATTTAGTGGTAGCAGTACAGTTTAATAGGTGGTGATTAAGAGGCTTTTCTTCCATCCCCAGGGTCAGGGTCCTGCGTTGAAACCCTGACTACTGTGGGGTTGTTTCTCACAAATAAAAACAACTCTGCAAACGATAACAATAAAGCAATTTTTTTTTATATAGAAAATAAAAGAAATATGAGAAGTTATTACACTAGGATGATTCGATAGCAACTTATCTATATACAATAAAAAATAATTTCACAAATCAATTCAAATAACGTCATAATCATTGAAAAACAATAAAATCGTAGAAAAACAATGATTTTATTATTCATTTGAATTGATTTTTCAAGTATTTTGTTAGCGTATACATGATAACTTGTTAACAAATTGTCCTAGTGTAAAACCTTCTCTTATTTCTTTTATTTTCTGTATGAATAATTGTTTTTGGCTTTTTATCATTATCGTTGCTAGTGTAAACAGGCCTTAAGCCTCATAAAAAGAATTTGTGATAAGAAGCATTGATGATGTTGAGCATTTTAATGGATTCTGAAAGCTGATTTCTATTTTATTCCTGTTTGCAGGCTGAAGAAGTTGCAAAACTGAAAGCAGAAAGGCTTGCAGCTTATGCTGCTAAGAAAGCAAAAAGTAAGAAAACATAATGCTAAGCTATAATCCACACTATCAGATTATATGCGGCACATGGGAATTGCCCATATATGAGCGTGATGGCATATCACATCCATCTGTACATGGTGATGTCATATCATACCCATATATGGGCAATTCACATGTATTTGTCAATTAAAATGATATTTGGATAGAGGTTTATGTCTGCATTCATCCTTTGTTGGCTTTTAAAAATTTAATCATCCTGAGTCACAGTTATTCATTCCTAATTTGGTTGTAATACAGTCGACTCCGCCTAAGTCAAATCTAATGGGACTGGCATAAAAAGAT